TGAATCTCGTACCTTATCAACGCCTTATCCCATGAGCGCATTGAGAAGTCCGAGATGGGCTGAAGCAGGCCTGCCCACTCAGTTTCCTAAACTGTCGACAGGGGCCGGTCCGGCATCAACCAAGCGCGGTCACGATGATCGTCACGAGGCTTGAGGACCTTCAGAGAGAAGGGCGCCGTACAGCGATCGATAGTCGTACCAACGAAGAGCACATTCGAGCGACTTGTACAAGGTGAGAATCAGCATTTGCCCTGTTCCTCCTAGACTAGCAACTGATATTATCGCAGGTCATCATCACTTCGCGAACGTGGGTCGTGGCTTCATTTGTTGCGTTGGTCGATAGATGTGTGTATTGAGAGAGGAGTTCGGGGTGGCTGTGAACATTTCCTTGGTAGATGGGTTTCTTGCTTGGCACAATGTCAGTCGGTAGTGCACACGCGTGTATACTCCGTGTTTTCCATCGATGATTGTTCCTGCATTGATTTAGGTTGAGATTTGCTTGACGTATGATTGATTGCTCAAAGTAGCAATAACTCAAGCTGTATTAATAGCTATATCCTTGCATAACGAAGTTCTCCGTGGTGATGATCACGAACCCATTCTGATTTTTGCGGTTTTACTCCCTCAGCATTAGAGTCACGTTGGGCCGACATCAACATAGCGTCACTTGTGTATATCACTGCTTTTCGTTTTGAGCATAAATGAAGTTGGCACCTGGGTCGCAATTAGTCTTCTTTCCTTGACTTGAGCTATGTGCTTGGACATCAACTCACCGACAGCAACGAGGCCATTCTCCTTGGCCCACTTCTGGACTCCGCGCCCCTCCTGGCCTCCCCAATGCTTGCGCTCCGCCGGCTTCGACAGTTCCAGCTTCTCCTTGGTTCCGTTGGCCGGCACCCAGGCCGTGAAGACGTAACGGTGCTTGCCAGTCTTGGGCGGAGGTCCTGGCGGCTTGTACTCGATGACCTCGTCCAGATCCGCCGGCTCGATGCCGGAGGAGATGGTCGGGGAGCTGCTGACAGCGATCCAGTGGCAGAACTCGGACCAGATGGGGTTGCTACGAGTGGGCGCGTCCGGGTCGGTGAGGGTCAGGACGTATGTCGTGGCAATGACGCTGGTCATTGACGAGCCGCTGACAATGGCAACAACAGGCGCCGACTGGAGATCGGCAGGCTTCAGGGTGTTCCCGAGATCGGCGACATTGGAAGAGGACCACTCGGCCGCGACGCCGATGATGGGCTCAAAGTCATCCAAGACGGTAGGGATGACCTTGGCTTTGTCCAGCCTGTAGTTTGCAGGTCAGCGAGCTGTCAAAGGCGCATATGAGTAGGGCGCGGAGCCGACGAGAGACACGTACTCTTCGTGGACGCGAGTCAGATCAGCAGCAGGTCTGAGGACGAATTGATCTTGGCTCGTCGGAGCAGCGGCAACAACGGTGCCGCAGACAGCCACCGCGGCCAGGAATTTGCTTGCAAGGGAGCCCGCCATTGCGGGTGACGGCTACGACGTTGCGCGTCCTCGAGACGAATTGCGATACAGTGGATGAACACTGAATGAAACAGTTGAGATTGCGGCAGGCAGCAAAAGCCAAGCGCAAGCAAGTTTGCTGCTGTTGAAGAATTGTTTGGTTGAGCGTTTCTTCTTTGCGACGATTGATGCGAAGACAAACGCGTTGAAGAATTGTGCCGTTGTTGCCGCCCCCCGCCGGCTTCGGTTTCCGCAGGGAGGGAAAAGCCGCGGGCGTCGTTTTTGGTGATGTCATGCCGCTACGCTCTGGCGTGCTTTCCCCCGCCCGGAACCCCTGCTCCGCGGCGTCAACTGCAACGGCACACCGGTCGCGCACTAAAATGAAGTAGATGGGTCTTGCAACTTTATTTCAGCCGCTCTCACCCAACAGTCTCATTGAGCTTCACGACTTTTCATGATTTGTGAAGTGATATGAAGTCTCAGTTGGTATTCCTTCTCCATTTTCATGTCGCGATGAGATTGCCCTCAATTCCTCAACTTTCATAGTCGTGATGTTGAGCAGTATGAGAACATCAGGTGAACGGCGCTTCAGACCGACGTATAAAGGCCGGTTTTCTATATCAATGCCATATCTCACCTAGTACCGCGGAATTTGAAATGGCCCAGTTGAATTCCCTCGTGGTAAGTGCCATCGTGGTTCCTTTAGCGCTACGTGATGCCCAATGCTGACAATGCCATGTTGGAAGATGGGACGCATGTGAGAACGGGCCGCTTGGTACAGTCACAATGTCAATGCCATTCCCTCGGGACACACGGGCACTCGAGAAGCTCTGGCTCTCCATCATATCAGATCATAACTACACTGACAGGGAAGCTATTGCGAGGGCGGCGAGTGACGAGCCCGCGATACATTGAGTAAGCGACTCTGTCTCCTAGTTGGGAATATTTCCATGAGCTCAAGCGAGAGGCTTTCGTTGAATGTGAACAACGCTCCTGATTAAGTCATCGGAAGAGAGAGAGAGAGAGAGAGAGAGAGAGAGAGAGAGAATTTGAAGATGAACACGAGACGGAAGGAGACCTTGATACGAAGCAGCTAAAGAATGAAATGTTCAACTTGCAATCATCGTCACATACCCATCCATGATTACTGACAGAAATAGAATTAGCGACAGGGAGTCGTGTTCTTCACTACAGATAAGTAATCAGTAACGGTGAGCGAATCAGAATGAAGTCAGTCCGCCTGATGGCAGGCATCAGTAGGTACTATCCATGAATTAGACTAAGATTGATTGCAAAACTTAGTCTAACTCCGCACGTAAATGAGACTACCTCGCGAATTTGGAAGAAGATAGGACTGCGGTGAATCTTAGCAACTTTGTACAATTGGGTTCCATTTATCCTGGCATTAAACACCCTTTCGCGCCTCTCCACCCCCCCCCCCCCCTATGTTGAGGCTCGTCCTACCAAAACGAGAATAATTCTGCTGCCTGAATTCACAGCCCTGCTAGTATGCCAACGGCCTTGAGAAAAATTTGCAGTATGCAACGATTGAATCCTCTCCCCGCTATTTAAGCCTTACTTGCATGTTAATTGAATTATTGGATGAAGTAATTGCCTCCACGTAATGCTCGCCATCTGCTCCGCGCTGTAAATAAGGAACCAACTTGAAGGACACTCAAAAGGCCTCAAGTGCCGATGAAATCGCAGATCTTGGCCATTTAGAGGCAGATTTTCCTTTGGCTGTCTAGAAATCTGACTAGTCTGCACAAGCCAGCCGGTGAGAGACTTGCCCGGTTTCGTTTTGCAGCCACAGTGTAACGTCGGGCGGCGGCTCAGCGTCGGGCATCACGCGGCGTGTTGTAGTCTACATCACTGAACCGTATAGTGAAATTCGATTGGCTACCGCACGTAAGCTGTAGCCGGCCGTTTCTTACTGCCTGGAGGAAACGGGTGAGAATGGGGCTGGTGATGTTGGTTGTTGTATCCGTAGCTTGGCTGAGCTTGGCTCTGTAAGCGACTTTAGAAGACAAGGTCATTAGATAGGGGCGGGCACTGGTAAAGGCTCCATGAACGGTGATCCATGATTTGATACGTTCTCGCTTCGTGTGAAGATATTACATATTGTCTGTGGATTCGCCTTTTTGTGTTTTCGGCGACTAATTTGACTTGCCTTTTCCAAATGCATGCCCGCTGGACACACCGCAGTCGGGCGACAGCCAAGGTGACTCTACTTTAGCCGGGCTAGCCATGTGTCACAACAGTATTGCTTCTGTGCTCTCAGCCTCGAGGATCCCGCTTATACTCGAGAGTCCCGTGGCATCTACGTGGGTTTTCCAATTTGGGACTTTAGGGTCGCCCCTGATGTACATCGTCAGCACTGGGTAGTAGATGGTCCGTCCATGTTGTCAACTCGAACATCATCATTTGCAAAAGTTTATTCTTCAAGTACTGCTATACGCACGCTAACGGTCTTCTAGTAGAGCCACTACCCGCTCGGGTGATAGAATAATCGCCCGCTTGTAGTACTCCATTTACGGCTACCAATCAGTAATATAGAGACTAACGGAGTGATATTATACGCAAACTAAATTGCATCTGGCAGAATCTTTCGAAGCCGATAACGAAAAGTCTACTTTCTGAATCCGTTGGTGCACTGGCAAGATTGTAAGTTTGGCAGCTGATAGATGTTTCGCAAGGTCATCTCTCCGGAACCCAAAATGAGGGACTTCGGTATTGATGAGGCTGATTGGACGCTCCGCCAAGGCAACGCCTCCGCTGCGGAAATAGGCAGTGCATGGCGCGAAGGAACGCCCGACGACTGAGAGGCAACATGTCGCGTGGCTTCATATTCCCGAACGAAGGAACAAGGATGATGAAGATCTGCATATAGGCGGGAAAAAGTGTTGTCTCCATCAACTAGGTACATCACCCTTGCAAACCCCGGGGTGGAAAAGCCATGGCATTACGGGACAGCACAGACACACAGAGCAAAAACCAAAGGAGAGAGAAAGAGAAAAGTATTGGCGGAAATGCCGATCACGTACAGAACCGAATGCCCGCGGCGCGTCTGATTCAAACAGAAGCCCGCAGCGCAGGTTGGCCTGCGCATACCCTCCACTACCACGATTACCATCTGATGAAGGAGTCCTCACGAGCCAACCAAATAATCTCTGCCTGCCTTCCTGTGGGCTTGTGTCTTCGGGATGTGACCGCACCACCCCAGCATGGCGGTGGTGGCTGACCCCAGCGCTGAGCAGGCAGCCGTAACCGTTCCTAAGTGACTTTTCGCCCGATATAGTTGCAGAGAGGGTTTACAAAATCTTGTCTGCAATATCGTGTATCAGGGGGGTTTGGGGTTACTTCCCGTCCACCCCAGCTCGTCTCAACTTCTGAACTCTCTTCCCTCTTTCTTCTGACAGCTCTACTCATCCCAGATTTCTTCCCTTACTTGCTGTGGCTTTTGCAGAACCGCTTGCGTTCGCGCAACTGAAAGAGAGAGTGACAGTTGAGAGCGAGAGTGTGAGATAGAGAACATGGCTTCCGTAGCCTCATGCTCGTCCATGGCCATGGCAATATGGACATCGTTGAGTCGATGTATCCAGAGGAGGTTCTTTCGTGTTTTTGCAATCTGTTCCATCTTGTTTCTCGGCGTTACTTTTCACCTTACTCATGATACCCAACGATCAACTCACCACGAGCCGTTCAAAGCCCCGATCACGAAGCCTATCGTTCATGGAAATCCGGTAGACGGGCTTCCGGAGCCATCATGCGATCTTTTACCTTTCCCGTATTCTCCTCAACCAACAGGTTCAAACAGCACGGATGACAGCATACTACCGAACCCCTGGCTGGCAGCAGTCATCTCGACGGCATCAGATGTTGAACGTCGGATGCTCATACGATCCACGTGGATGAAGATCTTTAGCGATGTCCCCTTTGACGGACACTTCGTGGTATCAAATCCTGGGCCACGTTGGATGGAGGTTGTGGCGAACGAGAACCGCACCTTTGGAGACATGATTGTGCTGGATACTATTCCCGAGGACGACATCACTGCCAACACCATCAAGACGCTCGAGTTCTACAAGTGGCTCGTTAATCACAACGTCCAGTACGAGTTTGTGTCGAAGATGGACACCGACTTATGGCTCAACGCACGAGGATTCTGGGACCGTTTCCTGTCACCGAGACTTTCGACTGACAGTGCCAGTAGGCTCATGAAGAGCACAGTCCAGAAGACTGTCATTGGAGAGCTCTACTACTCAAAGTACTGGGATCTCGTCTTCCCGCACGGCGCCATGTACACCGTCACATGGGATATGGTCGAGTTGCTGGCGGACCTCCAGAACAAGCATCACGTGGTGACGGGCGAAGACATGGCCATAGCGACTCTCATGCTCAAGGGTCACGAGAAGGCCAATTTTGTGAACTTTAGGGGCTCAGAAAAGTTCGACTACGACAATAAAGACGCACGGCACGACGGCACGGCGTGGGCTAGAAAAAAGACGCATCCGGATGCCATTCAGCACGCGCTGGTTGGTAACGATGCCATTGCCATTCATCAACTCAAGGATGAGAGCTTATGGTTCAAGGTGGCGGACTGCTTCGACGAGCAAGGAATCAGGGACGCGCCGCCGGTGTACCACTCTGGGCCGGAGACGCAGCGGCCCATGTCGATGAAGTGGGATGACTTTTGGTTCTGGATGGGGGTATCGGACCGGTACGACGCTAGATTCGACAGGATACCAGACTTTTTGTGGACAAGAGAAGATGGGCATTGGATATGCGATGGCATATGGGACTTGGGAGAGACAAAGACAGGATATACGGGAAAGGAGAGCACCTCATAAAGAGATGCGACTATTAGATTTGTCTCAAAAGCTATTTATTAGTGATATCCCCAAAGTTCCAACCCCCAATGTGCCACCACTTCAACGGAAGATGGTTCCTGGTACGGTAATCATGTTGATGGTGACCACCTCCCCATAATTCTCGTCGCCCAATTGGAGAGAAGGGTCACCTGGCGTGACTTGGAAAATGCTTTGACCCATGGCTGTGCAGGTGAGTGTGTTGTCGGCATTCCTCTGGCACACGTCGGCTTCAAAATTGACATTGACCAGAGAAGAGGCGATGGCGGTGGACTGAAAGAAGTACTGAAAATGGAGATTCGCGGTGCCGCCAACCATGGCCACGAAAGTACCGTCAGCAGTGGTGAGCGCGCAGTCGGGCTGGAGTCTAAACTGTTGCGCCAGTTGTCTGGTGGTATCAAAACGGAGCCTGTAGCCTGATCCAAAGGCCGGCGACAGCGCGGCCCACTTGCCGTCTACGTTGACGTCTCCTGTACCTGAGGCTTGGAATACGAAAGCGGCGGTATTAATAGCACAAGGACCAGACGGGGACGAGATGTAAGAAGAGAGTGTCGAGGAGGAGGTAGACTGAAGACAACTCAGCATGGTGTATGTCGCATGAGGCTACATCGGGGGGGTGCTACTCACACTGGTGCTACTGGAGCTGCTAGAGCTGCTAGAACTGGTCGAAGTGATGGTTGTAGAGGTGCTCGAACTTGAAGAACTGCTGGAGGTGGAGGAGCTACTCGAGCTTGAGGAATCGCTGGACGTCGAGGAGGTCGAGGATGTCGAAGCAGTCGAAGTGGAACTATCAGTAGAGGAAGCTGAGGATGTGACCGATGAACTGCTGCTAGAAGTAGTGCTGGCGATGCTCGAGCTACCAGTACTGCTACTGCCGGTTGTAGTGCTTGTCGGAGCAGAGGTTGCGGTGCTGGTACTGCTCGAGCTAGGAGCACTGCTGCTACCACTGCTGCTGCTGCCGCCAACGCTGATGGTCGTGGTAGGTGTGCTCAAGACGCTGCTGGTCGAGGAGGGAGTCGTTCTAGCAGTGCTGCTGTTCCCAAAGTTGAAAGTGCTGCTGCTCGAAAGGATAGGGGAAGTGGTGGAACTACCCGGCGTGACGACAGTCGGAGCGGAGCTTGTGAGCGTGGAGCTCGGCTGCGGCGGGTTCAAATTGCTTGTACCGAAGGTCGTGAAAGACGAGGAAGCGCCGGGAGTGCTGCTTCCGCTGGGAGACCCAGACGAGAGCACCGACGAAGATCCGCTGCTCGGGATTGCAGTGGTCGGCTGCGAGAGGATGCTGCTGCTGCTGAGGGTGACGCTGAGAGACGCCGTCGGTGTGGACGAGATCCCGGTGATCGCGGAGGTCGGCAGGCTAGTGGTGTTCGACACGGCGGCAGGGGGTTGCACACTCAGAACAAATCCAATGTTCGCCGGGATAGGGGTATTGGTCGGCGCCTGAGCATTGGCACCGAGAGCCAAGGCCGCGAATACGGCCGCGTGTTTGGTCCAGGCCATTGTGTCGACGTTGCACTTTCCGTAAGCTTAGAGACAGACAGAGAGTGTGTAAGCGAGTGAAAAAAGCCTCCAGCAGAATGAAAGAGTGGATGCCCAACTTGACTGGTGAGGGTTGGTGACCAAGGGGGAAAGAGAGAGAGAGAGAGATGTGGGCCAAGAAATAGGATGAAGAGAGCTCAGCAAGATCTGCGAGGTTCCAGTTATTTGGTCCATCCAGACATATGTGAACATTGCAGAGGGCCGAGATTGTGCTGGGAATTTCCAACGGGCCACAGAGCAAAGAGGCTGAATACTTCCATAGGCGCCATCATGCCGTTGAGCCATTACCCATCATTCCTCTCGTGAGGTGGGTTACTGGTGTTGAGCAGACGCGTGCCCGGCCCGAGACAGTCCTTTGAAGCCATGAATATCTCCGCTAAATGAACACTGCAATAATCCGAGAAGATCGGCCCCGGTTGCTTGCGGAGGCCATAGGTCAATTGGCGTGATCACGAATTCCAAAATTCCAAAGCTCGTCTTGGCACATGTGGGAAGGAAATGAGGTTGATGCTTGAAGGGAAGCGCTCACGGCACTTCGATACCGAGTCCCAGGGCGATGAGATATCTCGTTTCGCTCAGATATGCCGTACGACGTTGAGGTTGAGACAGTGGCCTCTATGATCATGAGGCTGAAGGGTAAGTAGAAGCTAAGCATTTTGTTGTCTCGGGCGTCTAGCTTAGGGGCCAAGGGGCTGTCGAGCTTCATGCCGTTACACACAATTCCAGTACGGGCCGAATGAGGAATTTAGGGTTGATGTTGCGTGGCAGTCACGGGCCGAGGAATGTGTTGGTAGCCGCGAGGTAGCGACATGGAAGATTATGCGGTTGCGTCCCAGACAAGGGAGGGATGATCACGACATCTAGATGCGACTGTCTCCCTGTGCAGCCCCTGACGTTGTCTAACATACATAATCAATCCTGATTCCAGACAACTTCACGTTACACCAGGTATATGAATAGCACAGGGCTAAATTTTCAACCCGAAGCCACTACTTCGAACGGGAGCATTCACAGATAAACAGACCTGAACTAACTACCTGCCACGCAGGAAAGTTGCCATTATACGCCACCATCTTGCCACCATACTTTTCCTTGCTAGCCGCAGCAAGAACCCCCATCATGCCATCGCACGACTCATCGACGCCAATGTGTGCCTTCTCCAGACCCAGACCTCGAGCACCAGCGTTGCCGAGGTCGGTCTGGACCCAGCCGGGGATCAGTACCCAGGCATTGAGCCAGTCTTCTTCTGCATTCATCCTGACCGTGAGCCAATTTACCGCGGCTTTGGAGGGGCCGTAGACGGCGTTTGGGATGGGAGGTTGGTTTCTTTTGGAACGATGTCAGCTGACCTTGTGCTAATGCCTTTATCTCATTTTACCTATGGGAGAGGCAATATGTAACTCACTCTATACATCCAGCAGTCGAACCCATCGGCACAAACATGGGTTCCTTGGACGACTTGCGCAGCAGCGGTCGCGTAGCCTGATATAGCGCGACGACACCATAGACGTTGGGCTCCATGTGCGCCTGGAGGTCGGAGATGTTGAGGTCAGCGACTGTCGGCCATGCGTACGAGATGCCGGCGTTGGCGATAACGATGTCGAGGTGAGTGATGCCGTGGGTTTCCTGCAGCTCCTTCACGGCGCCATGGGCATCCTTCGCGACGGTGGCATCGATCTTGACCACGATGAGCTTGCTTCCGTCGGCTTTGGGTAGGCCATTGAGGGCTTGCGATGTTGCGTGGGCCGGGTCGCGGTTGCCTGCGATCACGGTGTGGTTTGGGAGGGCGAGGTAGCGCTGGAGGAGGCCTTGTCCTAGGCCTCTGTTTGCGCCGGTGATGAGGACTGTGGTTGGCGCCATGGTATCTGGGGCGAGATCTCTCTCCGCAGAGAACACTATGAATACTGTCTTCCTGTTGTTGTAGAAGGATGAGCTGTATCAGTATCAAGTATCAAGTTCGCAACAGGAGAAGACTCTGATATAGGCAGGTCCCGGTCTTGATCAAGACATGATGAATCAGAGGCGAGGCTGGGAGTTTGGCGATAGAATGTCAACGTTAAATAACGTTATGGCTGTGTCCGTCACGTAACCTAGCCAGCAGCAACGGTAAGCACTAGTCAAGTGGCCGATCCTTTCATGTTGCCTTGTTCACTCCCAGTACGGTAGACGATACGAGAACGTGCCCCCAGAACCAGCGCTAGATCTTCACCGTGTTCTCGACAATGAGTTTATGGCCTGTCAACACACACGATCAACTCTGCGGAAGACATGCGGGAGACTTGCGGAAGACTCGCGGGGCATCTGCGGGTCCTTTCCGGCAAGGTGGCCCGGCCCCGCTAGTCCCGCCACGGCGTCCGACAGCGCGGAGACTGCAATTTCAAAACCCCCCTAGCGCAAATCTCTGATTGGCGGTCATCAAAACCCTCACCCGCAACCAGCAGATTTTGCACTCCAAACCCTCGCTTCTCGCGCCCCGTTCACCACAACGCAGAGTCGACTCCCATTCCCACCACGCGTTCATATTTGTTCTGGTCCCCGCCCGTCTTCAACAATACCTGGTCTGGTGGTGTAGTTGGTTATCACGTCAGTCTAACAGATCGAGAGATCCAACCTCTCTCGCCTGCCACACTGAAGGTCTCCGGTTCAAGTCCGGGCTAGATCATACCATGGGCGATTGGTTTAGTGGTATAATGACCGCTTAGCATGCGGTAGGTCCTGGGTTCGATTCCCAGATCGTCCATTCTTTTGCTTTTTGAAGACGTCAGGTGCTTTTCGTGCTGGTTGGCTTGTTGATTCCTTTTTGGGCCCGATAAGGGGCAGATCGTGCGGATGGCCGTGAAGGAGGACGGACGACGCATCCATCATATCCGCGTGGCTCGAAGCGGGCTTGGATTCGGACAAGGGAAGAAGAGGGTAATTGGTATGGCTGCATTAGCCCATCGGTCTCTCTTTAGACGGCTCATTGCGAGCGCGAAACTGTGTTGGTATATCGTGAGCCTGGTCCCCTTCTCGACCTGTCCCGCGCGAGCAGAACAGCAGTTCAGTCGCAGACATACTGCGCTCGAAAGCCATTCCCGCGATAGTTGGTCCAGTCCTCCTAGTCGCCTTCCGGTGACAGTGCTCTTGGTTGCCCTCCCTGGGAAGCCTCCTGACCAGGGCTACATCCACCGAAAGAATGGGTGCAGCAATGCAGTAGCGTGTCGTTCCATGACAGACTCGTGCCAGTAGAAAGCGACCTTTCATTCCTATGTCCTTCCAGGCTTGCTACAGCCGTCGCCGGAATGCCTCCACTAAGTCTGTGCATCCCTGCCGTGCCGTTTGATGATCTCCGACGCGTAAAGGAACCAGCTACATTGATGTAGATTTCCGGGAGGGCTGGAAATTGTCGATAAATGACCGGATGATTGCAATTCAACATGGAGCTGGCAACCCAGAATAACGGTGGT